CTATATTTTTGTACAAGTGACATAATTTTCCATTTACTACAGGAATTTAATTTGATTAATAATCAAAACAAGTCATTGAAAATGACACAGTCCCCGTTAAATTTTTGAAAGTTCTCTTTGTGCTCGTCATATTAAAGCGGAGGGGTTGTTGCGAGCGTGTCCTTGAAACTTGAGTTCCAAGTGGCGTATACAACAGATTGTTTATTTACATCAAAACGCATGTTCCGTGTAGTAGTAATATGGCCAAAAATAAAAACAGCCGTTATTCGGCCATCTTTGATCTGATTATGAAACACGCTGATATGCAAAAACAAATAAAAATGGTACACAAATTGTGGAAATTATACAGAGTTCTCCACGGTTTGAAAATTAAACAGGGCGCGCCAATGTGAAGTGCGCGTGGCACATTTGTAACGTGCATCATTGGCAAAGATGTTGAAAAATGGAAACCAAATAATCTATTAATCTACATATTATTACATATGCATAATATATATTTATTATTACAAAATGAATAGGAATTTTGAAGAGCTATTATTAAGTAAACGTCAGCACGTACAATCAGCTGATTTTAGCTGCACGATTCTTCAAGCGGCGACATCAGTTGTTTACAAGTAATGATTGCGTCCAGAAAAAGACGCAACAAGTTTGTAAATTTATTTTCCCAAATAGATACATACATGCTTTATTTAATTTTTAGCAAATATTTATGATTTATATTTATTTGGACGAAGCAAAATAAAATGTATGTCGCACAAACGTTCGTAATTGGTTCATTAAAAAACTTGCATGAATGGCACCAAAAACCAAGGTGATCAAATGAAATAAAATGTACACAATAGAAGATTTTCGATCTGCAGTTAACAGTTGCTATCAAAAATAGAATTAGGTATAAAAAAACAAAATACATACTTAAAAGAATAATTTTCATTCGAATCGAAAGTTGGTTGATGTCTGCTTCGTTGAAAACAGCTATGACCCGGAAACAGTTCATTCTACTGTGTGCACCCTGATACTATGCAACAATGCTTTTGATTGGCCAAGGCACGCATTTACGCGAAAAACAACCAATCAGTATATTTGTTCCAAAAGAACACAAGTAAATTTATTT